GGTGGGGGAGCCTTGCCTCCCCGCCCCCAGCCTCAGCTCGGTGCTTCTTTCACTCAGGGGTATTTTTACCTTTCCCTTGTTCCTGGTACACGATCAAAGAAAGAAGAGGAGGCTAAAAGAGGCTGCGGTTGCCCAGCTCTTTGGAGAAGCTCAGAAAAGGCGGCCTGCTAGGACCGGGGGTGCAGTGGGCCCTGCTGTGGGCAGGGGCAGGGGTGCAGTCCTGGGGAAGGGAGGCCTTTTGGGGATCAGACCAGCTCGGGGCAGGGCCTGGGGGCTTAGGGCTCTTGTTTCTAATCCTGCAAGTGTTTACCGTTCTCCTCTCTGAGGCCTCCTTCCCTGTGAGGCCGGGGTGTGTGTGTGTGTGTGTGTGTGTGTGTGTGTGTGTACGCGTGTGCATGCATACACACTCAGTGCTCAGTTCAAGTGTGCCCAGGCCTCAAGGAGACACCGGTGCTGCGCCCCATGAAGGATCAGGACGCTGAGCAGGCCCGCCGTCAGAGCTGCCATGCAGCCGGGCCTGCCCCACTCTAGCTGGGCACCTGAGCCTGTCATGGTGCCCCGCACCCCTCCACTGCCGCGCGTGGAAACCAGATGAACTCACAGGCTGTTGCAGCTGGCAGGACCCAGCACAGCGGAGGGGCTGTGTCCTTGGGCTGTTTGTCTCATACACGTAGGCCTCAGTGTCCTCGTCTGTAAGACAGGGATGAAAACCCCACAGAGGGACCAGCAGTTAGTGCAATGGCTATGCCAGTGGACTCCCATATTGGTGACCGTGGTTCAAGTCCCAACCTGGTGGCTTAAACTCACACCGGGCGTGTGTGCGTGCATGCCCAAGATCCCGAGAGGAGAATGGAGGAGAAGGGATTGCGGTGTGGCCATCCCCCCTGGTGATTTCTCATTTTCTGTCTCTGTCTTTCTGGTGAACACACATGCCCTATAGCAAAAACCTCTCAAAAAAAACCCAAACAACAACAACAACAAAAAACCCACAGAGCTCTGAGGACGAGAGGGTCACATGAGACGTAAGTGAAGCCCGCAGGACCCCCGACACACGGCTGTTTCGGAGCACTGTCGGTGTTTGGACAGGGCGATTTTACATCTCCAGCCCCTGCCTTGGACTCCGTCTTTGTAGACAACCAACGCTGTGCCCACAGGGGCAGGAAGGTCCCCAGATTGGAGTTTAGTCCAGGCCAGCCATTGCATGGAGTTTGAAACTGAGGACTCCAGGACGGCCGAAGCAGGACTGTGAGATTTGCCGGTGGCTTCTCCTGTCTCTTTTCTGAATCGGCTGGGGGCGGCACCAGCAGCGCGTCCCAGGCATCCTCTCACTCCCACAGCCATCTGGGAAAGAGCGCTGGTAAACTCATTCACTGGAAGGTGTGAGGGCCGCTGACAGCCGCACAGGCGCAGCCCCTGCCTCGTACTCTCAGCTCTCCATCTTCCAAAGCGTTGGCCTGGCCCCTGCACCTGGCCGCAGGATGCTGGCTTCGGAGGAGAGAGGGGTCTGATGAAACGCTCCGTGGGCTTGCTCAGGGCTCCCTTAGCTTTGGTGACTGGTGCCAGCTTGGAGTTCCGGACAAACCCTAGCTTGCTGTGTGATTGGGAAAATTACTTGGTGTCTCTGGGCTCCAGATTCACATGCAGACGGGGGCACAGGGGGCTGGGCGGCCGTATTCTCGGTTTCTGTGGAGGGCACCTTTCAGTGAGCGGGTGGGATGTGAGAGGGAGGCCAGAGAAGCCCAGAGAAGGCCAGACCCTGCATGCCACACCCTCTCCTACCCTCTCCTCTGCCCAGAACTGGAGCAATCAGGGCCTCTGGGGGGCAGGGAAGAGGCCCAGAGGTGACATCTCCAGGGGAACCTCTCAATCCAAACACAAGCCCTGGGGACACTGAGGCACAGAATGGACAAATGGCATGCCAGTCTTCATTCGGACAAGCCCGTGGGGAAGGGGCCTTGGGGGCAGCCCCCTAGTCAGGTCCTGACTCAGCTTCCAGCCCCTTCTCCCTGTGGCCTCCTAAGTGGAGGGAAGGGAGGTTGCTGGCTTTGAGTAGAGAGGCTGGGGTGAGGGAAGGAACCCCCAGGGGAAATTAGCCCAAATTAGCAGTGAGAATGAGGAAGAGCTGGTGTTCTCTCCTCTCCCCTTGCAGATAAATATTTAATCACAACAACAATAATAATGACGATGATCACAGTAATGTGCACTAGCTCGATGTAACCTGAGCCCTGCTCTCAGAGGGAGGATGTGGGGGGCGGGGGCAGAGAGCGAGCAATCACGAAATGGAGAGAGAAAGTCAGAACGAGGGAGGGGAGGGAGGACGGGTGAGCGAGCATCAGGGATGTGGGGTTGGCTTCTGCCTGCGGAAGCTGCGCAGGTGGGTGGACACGTGAACTCGGGGGTCTCCCGTTCTCCTGGCCTAGCCTTGGCCTTTAGGGCCAGCAGCTCCCAGTCTGGGCAGGACAGACTCCGAGGCTGAGTTCTTCGGGGAGGAGGGGGGCTTGTTTAGCTTCCTCATTTCTGAGGCCACCAGGAGCCGGGAAGGCAGGTTCTAGCTGGCGTTGGGCTGCTCATGGTGTGTGGCTCAGGCACAGTGCTCCCCTCTCTGGGCCTTGGTCTCCCCATCTCTGTCATGGCGTTGGGCCAGGTGGGACGTTTCTTGCTACTCCTTGAGTGTCGAGAAGGGCCCTCCTCCCCAGCCAGCGTGGCTGCTCCCGGGACGGGCTCCTGAGGCCGTGTTTCTGATGGCTGTGGGCACAGGCCTGGGCAGGTCTTCACAGATGACCCAGTTTCTGCCTAAGCGCTCCCATTTCAACCAGAGTTGAGCCGAGCCGGGAGGAAACCAAGTTCAGGAGATTTATGGAGTCTTTGGCGATAAGCTCCAGCATCCCCTTCTCTCAGGCTCCCGATGAGCGATGAGAATAGCTAATGTCTTCTCTGGGCTTCTGTCTAATGCGCTCTCTCTCCTCCTTCTCAGGTCGTTAGGAGGAGAGGATTGGAGCTGTTTCCTCCTTGATGCCAAGATACGCCAAGCCAGGCACGCTTCCCTCCCCACAGTCATCCGCCGAGAACAGGCCTGCGCGACGTGGGCACCAGGATCCCAGCTCTCCCGCGGCCCTGGCCGCTCCCTGCCGTCGGTGGGCCTGGACTGTGCGGGTCACGGAGCATTGCCCCAGTGCCAGGGAGGAGGTGGGAGAGTGTGTCAGCATGGCTCGGCCGTCCTGCTGCTGAGGCTGCACCGCCCCTGCCCACCCAGGCCGTGGGGCCCGGGGCCTGCCGGGGCTAGGGGCTGCCTGCGCTTCATGGGGCTC